TTGAAATTCAAAGACGGTGCAGCTGCTTGATATTGGAGGTAAGGTAAAGGGACCCCTGACCTTTAGGTCCAGTCGTGGCCAACTCTGGGGTTGCGGCGCTCATCTCGCTCTATAGGCCGAGAGAGCCGGCATACAGCTTCCGGGTCATATGGCCAGCATGACTAAGCCGCTTCTGGTGAACCAGAGCAGAACACGGAAACACCGTTTACCTTCCCGCCAGAGCGGTTCCTATTTATCTACTTGCACTTTGAGGTGCTTTCGAACTGCTAGGTTGGCAGGAGCAGGGACTGAGCAATGGGCGCTCACCCCGTCACGGGGATTCGAACCGCCAACCTTCTGATCTGCAAGCCCTGGGCTCTGTGGTTTAGACCACAGCGCCTTTTTATGCAGTTCCCAGAGGATTCCTGACTGTCTCTGCATTGGGTCACCCTATAGTGAGAGTGCGGCTGAACAATGGTGAGCGTGGCAGAGTTGGTAGAGTATGAGATTCTTAACCTTAGGGTCGTGGGGTTGAGCCCCATGTTGGGCAAAAGATACCTGTACTGCAGAGGTTTGGACTAGATGACCCTTGTGGTCCCTTCCGACTCTACAATTCTGTGATTCTGTGTCTGAATCGGGGCCTGTGTATTTACAAAGATAGTCGATATGTATTACTGTGCACAAGAAGGTCCCTTTAGAATGTGGAGATTCTGAATCTCTCTTTTAGACATTTGGGGTTGGCAACCTTAGATGCATTAAGAATTCAAGTCACTTTGAAATATTCATATTTAATAAAGAAAATGGTAACCCAGTCGTACTATTTATACTTGCATTCTGCCTGAAGGGGAATGTACGAGGTAGCAGAGCTGTGATTTATTGTTTCATCATGCAGGCTTTTCTCCCAGCAGAAATGCTCCCACCTGCCTTAAGTTCTTTTAATAGGAAAAATGAGTCTCCTTTGAACAAATGCTTTCCTACAAAGCTTATGCCTTTTGCTACTGCTCATGAAACATGAACAGAGGATACTGATCAGGGGGTGGGGTGGGGAAAGCCTTCCGTATAACCCAAGCCATTTATACCAGCATATGGTTCTTAACTAATTAGTCTAGGTTTGTTTTTAATATGCATGCCTGAATGTTCCCCAACGTGTAGCAGGTAGTAAGGAGCACCTCAAGGTTGTTTCATGGAAACAAAGGGCCCCAAATTAGAAAAGCATGTGGGAAAAGTGTTTAAAGACCACCCTCCCATTCAGTCCAGTAAGCAATTGTTCAGATTGCAAAGCAAGACTGGCTTTTCCCACACTTGGTTGGGCTTTTTGTGGGCTGTTTCCTAGTGACTGTATTTGCACCAGAAGCTAATGGCTCTAGCCATCTGAAACAAAAGGCAATTTGGTAGACAAAACCCCAGCTCTCCCACCCACCACCTCCGCTTGCAATCTCATTGTTTCGGCGCAAACCATTGCAAAGTATTGACCTATTTCCCGGGCTAAAAATGTGTGCTGATTTTACCAGCCCTGCCTGCACATCTTTCAGCGTATAATGGAAGCAGACTAAACACACTCTAATTAAAAGTCATTAGAGCTGAGAATTAGACACTTTTAATATACATATGAACAACTTGAGAAGCGGCACGAGGGGCTGTCGACTTGCCAAGTCTCACAGTGTACCTTGTGCTTGTCACAAGTCAGAGAATGCAGCCTTGCATTCATGCAGATATATGTATAAAGGAAAGAAAGAAAAATAAAAGTTTGCTTCCCACAATAGCAGTCCTCAGTTCATGCTATGGCTGGCAAGTCACAAGTCCCGGAGACAGCCCTGAGTATCTGTACAGATGAGCTCTTGACGGCGGTTCTTATTTTAATAAATAAATAATTTCTCCCCCATTTAGGCTCACTGAAATGTCTTACAAAGAATTCATTTTACATGTTAATCAAAGCTATTTACTTTTCGGCATGCCAGCCTATTTTAAGCACATTGGCATAGTAACTGAAAAGGCATTAGCTGCACAAACAGCAGCAAAAATAGCAGCACACAGCCAAATTCCCTTGAGATTAATTTTCATCAAGAAGCACTAGATGGTGAGAAATCACTTGAAAGTTGTCACTTCAGGTAGTCGCAAGGGAATTGGATATTGCATTCTGACCATTGTCTTGTCTGAGAAGATCTATATCAAAGCAACCTGCTAAAATTGTGTCTTGGAGCTAATTAACTGTGCATGAATAATACAGTTTGGCTCTCCTGGGGTTTTTGAAAGATGTATCAGTCTCCTCATTCTGTGGATTTATGCCTTTTGAGACAAGGGATATAATCGCAAGCAGCATACCCATCAAGCTTTTAAAAAGTGAGTGATGCTTTGTATTGTACACAATGAACAATTTGTGGCTGGGGAAACCCAGCTTCTCTAGCTGTTGCAATAACACTAGAGGAATCAGCATCCATCCCAGTGGTGAATGTCATAGTCCGCATCCTTGCTGTGTGAGCTGAGGCCATTTTTATTTATGTTGGATCAGAGGCTGGAAGCTTGCTCTGTGATGGCACTAGCTCATAGAGCAAATTCTATTAAATGGCATGGCCAACGCAAGGAACTTGGTAAGGATTCCTCCACCCCCCCCGCCCCTACTTAACGTGTCACTGAAATGTAAAAGTGCATCAAATAATTGGTGATGTTGGAATATAGTTAAACGCTGAATTGTGCGTAGGGTTGTGTTTGTGTGAAGACAATGAAGAGGCCAACCTATTTGGTCAAAGGCCCACTTTGAATATCATGCCAGGCTAAACTTAGAGCCCCCAAAATGTGTTTTTTGCTAACAGACACGAGCAAATAAGTTGGAACTCCATTTCTGCTTTCAGATTCCTTTTGCTCAGCATTCTGATTACAGTCATACCTCGGGATAAATATGCTTCAGGATAAGTCTTTTCGGGTTGCGCTCCACGGCGACCCGGAAGTAACGGAGCGCGTTACTTCCGGGTTTTACTGCTTGCACATACGCAGGCTGTCAAAATGACGTCATGCACATGCTCGGAAGCGGCGAAACGCGACAAGCACAGACGCTCAGTCGCGTCTTATGTTCTATTCAGGATGTGAATGGGGCTCTGGAACGGATGCCGTTCGCATCCCGAGGTACCACTGTATAGCGTAGTAACCTTCAGAGGCAGAGATTGGACATAATTATGTTTCTGGCCCACCTGCTAAACATTAAGATCTGCCTCAAAGGCTGCCTCTCAGACGCTGCCATCTGAGGCAAGACAGGACACACTCCGTGGTGGCACCCCAACTTGTGAATCGTCTCAGGGATGCCCGCCTTACAGTTCAATTAGATACCTTTTTGGCTACAGGTGAATACATTTTTATTCACTCAGGCTTTTATTGATTTTTTAAAACATGGCTTTTATTTTGCTTGCTTTGCTTTTGTTTCATTTTTAATTGTATTAGTATCAATTTGAATATTGGTTCAAATTAATGTAAATCACTCTGAGATGCTTTGAAGTGTGATGGATAAATAACCAGTTGCCATTTCAGACATTATACCAAACTATGGTTTGCAGCCCACTTTGACCCAAAGTGCCTTATTCTTGTTGTCTTTTCTTTACTGTTAAAGACATTTTAATAAACCATCTTTCTGGGACACAGCCTATTCAAGGCAGCTTCCAACAATACCTAAGGCATAATAAATTTTAAACCCCAAAACACAAGCATTAATAACAGTATCCAGTGATAAAATCAAAACACAGCCCAGAAAAATCCTAAAACTTCAGGAACGGTTAAAGATAGAATGCCATCAAAGATACCAACACGCCAATTGCAGTCTTTAAATCATGAGAACATCAATAAATGGGTATGTTTTTGAGGACTTAAATCATTAAGCATGATTTCTTGCCACAAGTTTGGAGTTCTCAGGTTCCACCACCAATGGCAGCTGGTTGTAAATCATGATTTGACATGATGTGTGAACTGAGCCAAAATATTGGTCCAGAGTTTTGTGGCAGCTGGTCACTAATAGCACAAGATGTCCAGGTATTCTCCAATTCTTTAAGACAATTCTCTGTTGAGGAAGTTAAGACAGTAAAAGAACTAACACACAGCTTTCTGCTAATGTATATCCAATTAGGGCTGCAGACGTTAATTAATGGAAACAAGTAGACTTAAGTGCATTAAAGCTTCAGTCAGTTAATTGGTGGGGCTGAGATTATAAGGGAGCACCAGTTATTTTTCCAAATAACCTTGTCTCAGGTGTGGCATGTTTGTGGCACTTAAAAATCCTTGCCTATCTCTCTGCTAAAACATTTGAGTTAGGAAGTACATTTTACCTGGCTATACTGTACCTGGGTATAGTTGTTTATAAGAGAAAGTAATCTGTTTTAATTATTAAAGCAGATACCACTATTCTTTCCACTAATTCTTCCATCATTCTTCTTTCACACTCAAAGGACTTTGTTTACTGAGCTGCAGTAAGTCTATTTTGGATGACTTTCTTTCATTAAAATGGGATTATTTAGCTGGTGAGACAAGAATAGCAACCAGACAAATGCCAGTTTGGTCAAGTTAACCAATTTGGGGAGAGTCTGTAGTTCAGTGGGAGAGCAAATCCTTTGTGTATCTTGGAGATCCCATGTTTAATCCTGGCATCACCACTTAAAAGAATCGGATGATGGGAAAGGTCTTTCTCTGCCTAATACCCCAAAGAGCTGCTTGTCAGACAGCAAATGCAATACTGGGGTAGCTGTACGGCCGGCCCTATCATTAGGCATGGTGAAGAGATAACGTGTCTTGTAAAGAGGCGGAAAATTGCTCTTTCTTATTCTGTTTTTGCTGCCAGCAAGAGGGGCGATTGTGGGATTTTCTGCCTCAGGGGTCATAATAACTTGATCAACCTTGGGCACAATGCCCTGTGAGAAAGGCTCGATTTTACTGCATCGCTTCAGGCAGCAAAATGTTTTGGACCAACCCTGGCTAAATGGAGAAATGAAATGGCCTGGAATAAGGCAGTTTCTTATGATCCTAAAATGTCCTTTTTTCTCTAGGATGGCTCTGGCACCTCCCAGTTACTGTTTTGTTGCGTTCCCACCACACACTAAAGATGGCCTTGTAGTCATTGGGAAAAATTCTGCACGGCCCAGGGACGAGGTACAGGAAATAGTTTATTTTGCCGCTGCTACTCATGATCCAGGATGCAAAGTTGAGGTAAACAGCTTTATTTTGTACTTAATTTGTGGGTTTGACAAAGGGCATGTTTGTCAGATGTGACATATAGACTCTCGTGGTCAATATTGTAAAATGGCATGTTGCTCTGTTCTCTTTTCACCTGTTCTCACCTTTGGATCCATTTACCTGATAGTGAAAATTTATACATCAATTGAAAACAGGAATCTTAAAATAAGCCTGTTGTCTTTGGCTCACAAATACCTTGGAGTTATCCAAGTCACAAGTCACTTTCCTTTTGTTTTCATAATGACCATTCTCTTTTTTCTGTACTTTCAATCCAGGCACTGCCAGTCTAACAGCAGCTGGGTCAAACTGCAGTTTATACAACAAAGACTTTAGTCAGAAAAACGGCATATTCTGCTTTCTGATGAAAGATTATTCCAGAATCTACAGAAACAGAGATACACATACTCTTGCTTTTCTGCTCCCCTTATGAAGTCCCCCCTTTTTTTTAAGGACTGACATATTTTTGAATATACAGTATATGCTTTTATTAGAGAACCTGCTTATAATAACCAGCTGCGTATTTGATATAAAACATCTGCCATAAAATCAAGTGGATTTTTCTCTCCTAGTGCTAGAAATTCATGCATCGCTCCTCTACCAGTACATGTTGAAATCCAATGGAAAGTGACATGTTTGCCTGTATTTTATTTTTGCCCGGTATCTTTTGTGTATTCATGGTCAGTTTTGCAGCTAGAATTGGGTAACCTTTGGGGCTGGTGAGAGATCCTTTGGGATACACTAAAACGAGTTTGTAAGTTGCCACTTACCTGTGGCAAGTAAAAATCTTTCTGTGGTGACATGTCAATATGATAACACTGTACTTTCTATGGAGAAATGTAATCTGATTCAGTGAGGTCTTGTCTCCCTCTCCCCCCACTGTAGTGCACATACATTGAGATTGACCAGGTGCCCAAGACCAACGCTGTCGCACTGAGCAGACCTTCCTGGCTTTGGGGGGCAGAAATGGGGGCAAATGAACATGGAGTCTTCATTACCAATGAAGCCATTATCACCAAAGAACCAGCCTCAGAAACTGAAGCTCTCCTAGGAATGGATCTTGTCAGGTGGGTGATTAGGGTGGATGAAAATCAATGATTATTTTTTTAAATGATTTTTAAAAAACAATTTAAATCTGTTTCTTTTTATATTTAAATGGGATTTTTAAAATAAAATTCTTTTGGAGGAAAAATCTTTCTAAATATAGTTTTCTGTTTAAGTTACATTGTAGTCCAAAGGCTATTCATCAGGAAATAAGGATTTGTTTTAAGTTTTTCATGTGTGCTAAAAGTCAGTCTAAGTTTTTTTTTAATTGTTTAATCACATCAGTTAACAAACATGGATACATATGCTATAATGTTATTGTTTTAGTTCAATAAATTGTTACTAAGGAAATGATTATTTTTTCCCTTCCAATAACGTACAGCAGAAAAGTTGTCCAAATATAAACAGTTGACTTATTAAACCTCACAATAATTTCATAATGATCAGTATACGTATTTCTGAGAGCATAACCAAATCAGTAAAAACTGTAAAAACTACTCTGAAAATTTATTATTCCAAGAATGAAACCTTTCATCTGGTTGTAAGTATTAAGGTTATACCAGCAAGAATGAGTCTTTCTGTAAAAAAATTGTTTAAATCAAGTCTTACCAACTAGTGATTTAAATGGTTTTGATTTAAATCAAATCCACCCCGTGGGTGATTAACAACAACATGGTGGTTGGGTTGTGTAGTCTGATAAGCGTTCTGAGCAATGAATCAGCTGTACGAAATATCAGCAGAAAATCAAACCCTCCTCTTGGTAACATCACCGTTTTGGTCCACATATGGAAAAACACTGTGCGCTTTTACACATGAAGTACAATGCAAGTGTTTCTTTTCATCTTTAATACATGAACTGCCATGTCTCTGTGCCTTTTAGCATTGTATGTGATGTATCCTTTGGTCTTGAAACTCTGGGAATGGCGAGCACGGTACACAAACTTTAAAGTAATAATTGGGCACTCCTATTAAAAAAAATGGATCTGCCAAGATGCAAAAAGTCGGAATACAACCTAATGTGCTTTTAAAAGCAGCAGTTGCTTTGTAAATCTGTACAGCCCACGAGCTTCATTTTAGTCTTCATTTTCAAAACAGCCTACTGTGACTTAGAATTCTTGCTTGTGTGCTTCAAGGCGGGGAGGTGGGGGACCGGGGACTCTGGAATAATTAAATCATTGTCAGGCATACTGCATCTCATGCATTCCAATGGAAAGCCATTTGCCGTTGACTCAAGTGCTGACGAATGAGCTCCAGAAAATCGTTTTATTCTAGCCCAGCTTGATTGACATGGTTCCTCTGGCCAGTCTTGTTTGTATAGTACAGCGAGATGAGCTTAATGTCAGTAAGAACTATTATGGCTAGAAAAGAGCTACTAAGAAGGAAAGGGTGGAAAAGAAATGAGATTGGCTTCCATGCTAGAAACTGCAATAGGGCTATAGGCTGTTGTTGGAGATAATAATAATAATAATAATAATAATAATAATAATAATAATAATTAATTATTATTATTTTATTTATATGCCGCCCATCTGATTGGGTTGCCCCAGTCACTCTGGGCAGTTCCCGACAAAATATTAAAAACACAGTAAACCATCAGCCATTAAAAACTTCCCAGAACAGGGCTGCCTTCAGATGTCTTCTGAAAGTCAAATAGTTGTTTATCTGTTTGACATCTGACAAGCTGTCAAGCTGCTAAGCAAGCTGATTGGGTCTGCCTGATTCTCTCTTTTTGCATGAACTCTCCCCGTTGAAAGCAGTTCTCAAGCATGCAGGTCTTATAACTGTCCTTGCAAGATTTGAATCCTCCTTTGGGAAAACACAGTTGTATCCCGTTCAGTTTAGTTAGAAGATCAATTCATCACATGACTGATTAGAAGTATTTAATAAGCTGGGTGTTTTTTTTTACATTAAGCTCCTCTTTCCCATTCTTCAATCAATGCAGATTTCTACGCTGGAATCTTCTTTTATCTGCCCACTTTGTTATGAACAGGAGGCACTTTTATTATTCACAAATCCATTTTGCTTTTCGAACTTAAAAACAGCAGGAGACTGGCAGTCACTGACTTTAATGGGAATAAATCGGCTTATATCCAAATACTCCAGCATGAATGGGTTCTGGGATTAATTCCCTAATGGCAACAGCAGGCCAATATTAATCAAAATTATGGATGTTTGAAATGTAACTTTCTAATAAGAGTTTGCTTTGGTCCTTACTAAAGGAGCTAATTTTAATTAGGTTATAGAAGGCTGGGTGAGGTATAATGATAATGATAATAATAATAATAAAATTATACCTGACCCATCTGGCTGGGTTTCCCCAGCTACTCTGGGCGGCTTCCAACCAAATATTAAAAACACAATACAGCATTGGTTCCCTGTAACTTCACTTCTCGCAGGGAGGGAACCGCCAAAAGGCCCTTGCCGCTGGACCTCAGTGTCCGGGCTGAACAATGGGGGTGGAGACACTCCTTCAGGTATATAGGACCAAGGTTAAGTTATGACCATCAGAAGGTCCAGTTCCCTTATTTCACCCTGTGACAATTCCTCTGCATTTTCCCAGCAACTAGGAATGTTATCTGCTAACATTCTGTTTTGATTTAGTAAATTGGTGGTGGGGCAGGGCAAAATGGAGCACATAGACATCTTAAGTCCCATTTCCTGCACTAAAGAATATACAGGTACAATTAAAAAACCAACTATACCCCACAAGAGTTTATATTGAAAGAAAAGTGGACCACTGGTTCATTTTGAACCAAAAAATCCTGTTCCATGTCACAGCAGGACGCTATGATGAAAATGAAAACTATTGCCCATTTCAAACCATTTTAATGGTACAGTTGTGACAACTTTCCTCAAGCTACTACAAAATAAATCTTCCCTAATAGCCTGTAGAGCCAACAGGACGACCCTGTCAAAGGCTTAGTCCACTGAATACTACTACTACTACTACTAAATAAATAAATAATACAGTGTTGTATGTTCTTGTATGTTAGCGCTTTACTACATATCTCAGTGTTCATGAACTAAGTGTGGTAATGGGATGCAAATATTTTAAACCAAATTAATTGTTCTAGTAGGAATAATGAGGATGTGGGTGGCGCTGTGATCTGAACCACTGACCCTCTTGAACTTGGCAATCAGAAGGTTGGTAATCAGCAGTTCGAATCCCTGCGATGGGGTGAGCTCCTGCTGCTCTGTCCTGCCAACCTAGCAGTTCGAAAGCATGCCAGTGCAAGTAGATAAATAGGTACCACTGCGGTGGGAAGGTAAACGGCGTTTCTGTGCGCTCTGGTTTCCATCACGGTGCTCCGTTGCATCAGAAGCAGTTTAGTCATGCTGGCCACATGGCCCAGAAACTGTGGACAAACGCCAGCTCCCTCGGTCTGAAAGCGAGATGAGCACCGCACCCCATAGTTGCCTTTGACTGGACTTAACCGTCCAGGGAGCCTTTACCTTTTAATGGGGCTTTGGGAGTCGGGTTCATGATCACTTAACTGAATGATGATCTTGTTCTAGATTTTGTTTTATCACTTGTCAGGCTGGTAATCATGCTTTGACATGGCCTTCCATTGTTGCTGTAGTTGAGTTGCTTCTTCCCCACCTCCTTTGGTTCCCTCCCCAGGCTTGGTCTAGAAAGGGGTGGAACAGCTAAAGAAGCCTTGGATGTCATTGTCTCTCTGTTGGAAGAGCATGGCCAAGGAGGCAATTATTACGAAGATGGGAGTGTATGCCATGCTTTCCAGACTGCGTATCTGATAGTGGACAGAAAAGAAGCTTGGGTCTTGGAGACTGTTGGGAAACACTGGGCAGCAGAGAACATTACAGGTCCGTTGTAATTTTTATCCCAACCTGCTATTTATGAGGAAGTGATTGAGTACATGAACATTTGCCATGGCGATGATGAGTTGTTCATGAATGAATTTCCTATTTCCATTTAATGTTTGTTCCTGCTTTCCAGATTGTAATGGTAGTATGCCATTTAAAGCAGGTTTTGTTTTTGTTGTTTTTAATTGTCAACCTTAAGGACAATTTCTGGAAGTTTCTAACATATTGACTTGGTTGAATTTTATGTCAGGATTCAGAAAGCTTTTTCTGCGTAAGGAAATCTGTTTCTGCCTGTGTGGAGTTTTGTTTTTCTCACTCAAGCAGAAATAACAGTTGATTGACCAAAGATCTTTTCTATCTGCAGGTCTTGTTCTCCCATTCAAGGTTAATTGTGCACATTACTTTCACATCTGTCCCTTGAAATTGTGGCTCTCTGACTTGCTGACATTTTCATGTCAGCTTCAGATTGTCGCTGACATTCACTGAACCTTTAAAATGGTGCACCATCAAATTTAAGTCTCCCACGCGCAAATTTGTTCCGGCTTGTAAGTGTACACAGAAATCATTTTAAAGTTTTAAGACAAATTGTGCAACTGGCCTTATCCAAACCCTTTTTTGCTCAGTTCTTCGTATACTCTCATGCTCATATGGAGCCTCTACAGCAGGCTTCCTCAAAGTCAGCCCTCCAGATGTTTTGAGACTACAATTCCCATCATCCCTGACTACTGGCGCTGTTAGCTAGGGATCCTGGGAGTTGTAGGCCAAAACATCTGGAGGGCTGCAGTTTGGGGGTGCCTGTTTCAATGGATGGCACTTTTTTGCGTACACACAGTAATGTGAGCACTTCCACTGAAAGGAAGGTGGACTTGCTCTGTTTGCACATAGGACTGTATCTGACCATAGTCCTTGGCCAGCACGCTAACAGGGCGATCCTCATCATGCCTACTCAGAAACAAGTCTTGTGGAATTCAGTGGGGCTCGCTCATAGGTAAGTGTGGACAGGATTGCTGCATTGAACTCCACTTTAAAATGATCGTGTGGCCGCTGTTGGTAAAGGCCTCTAGTTGAGACCCTTGGAGGGCTACCTCCAGTCAGAATAGACAGTACTTGGCTTGATGGACAAATACTCTGACTTCCTATAAATAAGGCAGCTTTCTGCATTCCTATGACACCACAGGTGTAAGGTAGACTTCATGTTTTGCTCTCGAGTCCATTTTTCTAGTACGTAGTAGCATTCTCAGCAACTAGTAAGTTAATTTTGGTGACACTATATGGTCTTATACCGAAAGAGACAAGTGTTCTCTTGTATCTGTCCTAGAAAAGGGAAATAATAATAATAATAATAATAATAATAATAATAATAATAATAATAATAATTTATTTATACCCCGCCCATCTGGCTGGGCTTCCCCAGCCACTCTGGGTGGCTTCCAACCAAATATTAAAATACAGTAATACATCAAACATTAAAAGCTTCCCTAAACAGGGCTGCCTTCAGATGTCTTCTAAAAGTTTGGTAGTTGTTGTTCTCATTGACATCTGGTGGGAGGGCTTTCCACAGGGCAGGCGCCACTACCAAGAAGGCCCTCTGCCTGGTTCCCTGTAACTTGGCTTCTCGCAGTGAGGGAACCGCCAGAAGGCCCTCAGCGCTGGACCTCAGTGTCCAGGTAGAACGATCGGGGTGGAGACACTCCTTCAGATATACTGGACCGAGGCCATTTATGGATTTAAAGGTCAGCACCAACACTTTGAATTGTGCTCGGAAACGTACCGGGAGCCAATGTAGGTCTTTCAAGACCGGCGTTTTGTGGTCTCGGCAGCTGCTCCCAGTCACCAGTCTAGCTACCGCCTTCTGGATTAGTTGTAGTTTCCGGGTCACCTTCAAAGGTAGCCCCATGTAGAGCGCATTGCAGTAGTCCAAGCAGGAGATAACCAGAGCATGCGCTACTCTGGCGAGGCTGTCTGCGGGCAGATAGGGTCTCAGCCTGCATACCAGATGGAGCTGGTAAACAGCTGCCCTGGACACAGAATTGACCTGTGCCTCAACCCTAAGATATGTCTTAGAAAAGCGATATGCACCAATTATTTGGAGTGCACCAACACAGATACATGTTGGTAATTATTTCTGTAGGTTTCCCTTGTGAGTTTGTTGCACAGAGGTGGTCCTTGTCTCTTTTAAGATCCATTTGGGGGCGGTTGGTAAGATTACTACTGCACTTTGCTGCTCCATTGGGGTAGAAGGAAGATTTCATGCTGCATTGAATGATCATCTCTGCATCATGAAAGGCAGTGTGTTGGTTCACAGAACTAATGGGCTTATGGATGGAGAGGAGCTACTTCTTTCCTGCTCTTGTCCCCTACATTAGCATATTGCATTTGAAGCGAACTATGTTAATTCCAGTTGAAATAAATTAAACTTCAGCTCAACTAAGTCATGACTAACTTGGCTCATTGACTTAGTCTGGCTCCAGGCCTCTGTCTTTCGTAAGACTGACAATCAGGTGTGATGATGCCTGATTGACTCTGCACGTTATTTACAAATAATCCTCAAAAGTATTCGACTCTGGGAATGGTGATCCCATCACAGTACCACGGAAATGAATTTTGCCACCCGCTTTTCGTGATCTCTGCATGCCTAATTGATTGATATTGCACGATGTAAAATAGATTCAGCTTAAATTTGCATTTAATGAACGACAATAGAATATATGATACTTTTTTTTCATAGGGGGAGTCAAGTGCATTTGCAACCAGCTTTCCTTAACTACAAAGATCGATGCAGAGCACCCTGAGCTTAGAAGTTACGCGGAAAGTCAAGGGTGGTGGACTGCAGATACAGAGTTCAACTTTTCTCAAGTATTTTCTCAGGCTGATAACCATTCAGATTGTTGTTTGGCAAAGGAGAGCCTAGAGAAGCAAGAAGGTATGTAGAAAATCCACCACTACTCCTCCACTTTTGATAAACGAGTTTGTAGCCAAAAGTGTGCGTGAACTGAGTTTTGAAAATTTCACTTCTGTTGGTAAGATTATGCATTTCCTTTTTTGGAAGGAAAACGTTGTATAGACCTTGAGTGTATTCTGTGTATAAGTGATACTTTAGAGATACATGTTCTTGTAAGTGAGAGAGACTAGGAGAACTTTAGCTGCCTTCCAGCCAATAGACCTATGGAAGCATCAGTGCCTCTGATGGTGTAAATGTTAGCAAAACTTTGATCACTTATTAACAATTAGAGATCCTCGCCCCCCCCCTTTACGGGATTAACCAGTTTAAGTTACAGACTAGGAAGGGACCCAACCATTGAACCCAACCCTCTGCCCAGTGTGGGAGCGGCAGTGTAGGAGAGACCTAAATTTATTACCCTGTTAATGCCTCTATTTTGATATTTTTCTAGGCGCTGTCACTGTGGAAATGATGATTGACATCTTGCGGGATAAGTCTGGTGGTATATGTGTGGATTCAGAGTCTTTTCTTACTACATCAAGCATGGTGTCCGTATTACCTCAGAATCTTAGTTCCCCGTGCATCCATTATTTTACCGGCACACCAGATCCATCAAGGTATATTGGAGAAAGCGCCTGGCAGGCTGCCAGTACTTTTTCAAGCCTCAAAAATTAGTTTCTAGTTTTACATTTTAAAAACTTGTTTATCAGGCTAATTCCACATTGTTTTCTGATGCAAAGTTAATCGATGCAGGGAAGCAATCAAAGGGTCTCTTCTTTGCCTAAACCCATTTCTGCAGTCGCTGCCCTCAGTCTAGATGCATAAGGCAGGTTGGGAAGGCAAAACGGCAAGCGAGTCAGATGATCTTATTATTATTTATTTATTTATTTATTTATTTATTTATTTATACCCTGCCCATCTGGCTGGGATTCCCCAGCCACTCTGGGCCGCTTCCAACAAAACACTAAAATACAATAATCTATTAAACATTAAAAGCTTCCCTAAACAGGGCTGCCTTTAGATGTCTTCTAAAAGTTTGATAGTTATTTTTCTCTTTGACATCTGATGGGAGGGCATCCCACAGGGCAGGTGCCACTACCGGGAAGGCCATCCGACCCACGGCAGAACCTACTTCAGTTTTAACATGGCAACCCTATTAGCCTGTTTCGTCCTGTCTTTGACTAAGTACGTAGAAGCAACGTTGACTCAGCAGAAATTCCTACAGTGGCTCCTGCTGCATCGGGGCTATTTACTGCTTTCGTATCTACCATTTTGAGCCCGAGAGCTAGAACTGCATTCTGTTTTTAACTGCATCAGCATTTATTCACACTCTGCTAATCCATTTGCTGTAAACTGCATGCAAAATAGTTCATCAAGGTCTCTCTTCTGCCAGAGTCCTTCCCTACTTCTCCCCTCCATCGGAATATTTGCACTGAGACATCTTTGAATGTTTACTTCTGCTGTATAGAGAGTTTTACCTAATAGTCTGTAGGTCATAAGGCTTGTTCCTTAAGTGTGGATAAGACCTCTAACAGGAGAGAATACTGGATCATATATTGAATAGATTGTTAAGTTTCCCTAAGAAAAGCAAATGTGAATGTAGTGGATCGTTTGTGGTTACGCAACTAACTTCACTCAACACTATTTAAGAACATCGGTGTAAAGTGAAGCACTTTTGAGTCGCCATATCCTTTGTTTTCTGTCAATGCAATTCTTTGGATCATACTTGTCATTTTCAGCACAAGGGTTTACATCTCTTCTACTGGCTGCAGTTGATGAGAACCTCAATTTACTCTCTAAAGTATTTGGGGGAAATAGCAGCCATTTTGCAATTCCTGATGAAAAGATCAATAGTTCTTCATTAGCATTCCATACAGTAGGTCTTACCCTTTAATCCTCCTTGTGGCATTTATTGCTTGTTCAAAGTCACGCCTTCAATAATGGAAGGGAGATTCTGAGTAGAAGCAAACCCCTTTAATGTGATATCTTCCATAAATGAAAGGGATGAAAAGCAAAAGGATAAGCAGAAAGCAGTACAGCTAATTTAACTTGCTTGTTTTCCTTCTCAAGGAAAGCTGCATTTTATTATTCGGAAGGAGATTTGCTGTTATTCCAGTTTCCTGATCTTCCCTTTTTGGTGCAATTTATTCGTATTAAAAAAATTCTCCTCAGAGCTAGAGAAGTGAAAATGTATGCAAATCTGCCTAAAAAGTTTTAGCACTTCAAAAGATAACGTCAGTGAACCACAAATGCAGGTTCTTCCCTTTTTACTGAAAGCGTGTTACAGATCTCATGTAAAATATCTTAATGGAGCCCCAGAGTAAAGGAGACAAAGAAGATTTGAACATACCAATTTGTACAGGCATTTCTTTAAAACAGCATCATTGTCTTGTAAATGTTGCTAAACACATTGTGCATCTATTCTAATATTTAAGAACAGCTCTGTGCAGAATATTTCAGTATTAAAATAATACCGTATTTTTCGCTCTATAACACGCACCTGACCATAACATGCACATCGTTTTTAGAGGAGGAAAACAAGGGAAAAAACATTCTGAATGAAACAGTGGATGTATCATTTTTGTGCTTCATGCTGTGGCCACAGACATGTGATCTGATGGTGAATTTGGGGTGACCCAAATTCACCCCAATGCAAAAATCCTGAGAATCCCTGTGGATCCATGCTTTGTAACCACGTTTTTGCACCGTTGCAGCCCCAGGCAACAGTGGGTGTGTGATTTTTGGAGGGCAGGCTGTAGCCATGGACATGCTATGTGCTCTGATGGTGAATTTGGGCTGACCCAATGCAAAGATCCTGAGGATCCATGTGGATCCATGTTTTGTAACCACATTTTTGCACCATTGCAGCCCCAGGCAACAGTGGGTGCGTGATTTTTGGGGGGCAGGCTGTAGGCATGGACATGCTATGTGATCTGATGGTGGATTTGGGGTGCCCCAATGCAAGGATCCTGAGGATCCATGTAGATCCATGCTTTTTAACCACATTTTAAGTGGGGAGGGAAGGAAAAACACAGAACGGACAAGGAGCACGAGAGGGGTGTGCAGAGAAGCAGCTGGCTAAGAATGCAGGAGAGGGGTATAACGGGAGGGAGGAAAGGAAGGCAAAAGTTTTCCCTCACCTACCCACCCAAGCCAGCCAGCCAGCTCGCTCGCTCTCTCTCTCTCTCTCCCTCCTGCATGTTTTCCTCTGCTTTCCCCTCTGCTTGCCTGGAGGGGAGGGGCTTTCCCTGCTCTTTGTTCCGTTTGAGCAAACACAGCAAGGAAACAGAGGAGGGTGGGCAATAAGACCCTGAGGCAGAATGCAGGAAAGCAGCCACTTCCTCTTTTCAGGTTTCCCTTCTCCGAGACGCACAATTTGATTTTTGCCTGCTTTTTTTTGCTTCCACGCGCGCCATTTGGCTCCAGGGACCACACATTCGCTCAATAACACGCACAGACATTTCCCCTTCCTTTTAAGGAGAAAAAATCTGCGTGTTATAGAGGGAAAAATACGGTATATATTTGCTGAGCTATTCTTCATGGCATAGACTGGCTTATTCCCTAACAATCAAAGGAAAGAGAAGTCCTAATCTGCAAACAGTTAGAAGGAACTGATTTAGTAAATATGTTTAAAAGTAAGTGTAGTCTGTTTTATAGCTTTTGTCTCTGTGTTACTGTTTAATGCCTCTTTTCAGATGGCCCAGTTATTTTGTGCAACACATCGAAGTTTGTGTGATAATTTTTCTTTTCTTTCTGTTCTTAAAACAAGCTTGAGCAAACTGCTAGGCGATGATATAAAATGTAGCCTTAGCTAACAATTAGTGATTCCTCTGGTCTCTTTCAGGTCCATATTTAAACCTTTTATCTTCGTCGATAATGTGAAATTAGTATCAAAAGTACAGTCACCCGTTTTGGGTAGTGATGATCCTGTGAAAAAAATCCCCCGGTTCCAGGAGAACCCAGACCGTAGACACGAATTGTACAAAGTGCACGAGTGGGCGCGATCCGTCATGGAGAATGAGCAGGTAAACCAGCACTCTGAAAATACACCAGTGAAAAATAAAAAAAATGAAGATCTGGGGAAATTACATTTTGTGTTCTGTTTCGTTCCTCCTGAGCCCTTGAAATTCAGTCAAAGACCCTTCTAGGTCACTGTAAACTTTAAAAAGAGAGGATATTTCATATCTGAGCAACATGTACAAAATCTCCATCACCTCAAAATAAACTTGCCTGTGGAAAATCCACACCTGAAATAGTTTTAACCTTCTTTCACTCCTAAAGTGCTAGTTTTCTGTGTGCAGAATTCTGCCCCCCCCCCCGGCACACAAATGCACTTAAAGGCATCATTCAGTCCTCTTGCATTTTGTAGCACTACAATTCAGGAACTGCTGTGGCACGTGGTCTTTCTGAAAATGTAGTTCAGCTCTAAATTTATTGCATTGACCTACTATCACGCTGCTCGGCTATATAAGAACATGTAGTCAAATTGCATACTAGGAAGCAACAACTCCTAATGCAAGGTGAGCAGCAGAGCTGACGAAATTCCAGTGTTAGATACATCTAAAAACCTGGACATGTAAGAAATACCGTATTTTTCGCTCTATAGGACACACTTTTCCCCCTCCAAAAATTAAGGGGAAATGTGTGTGCGTCCTATGGAGTGAATGCAGGCTCCTTGCGCTGCGCTCCGAAGGCTTCGGGTTCCTTTAGCTGAAGCTTGGAAAGCAAGACTCTCCCGGCTTCAGCCAAAGGAACCCAAAGCCTTTGGCGCAGCGCGAGGTCCCGCTGCGCTCCAAAAGCTTCAGCCACGCACCTGCCTGGAAGCCAGAGGAGAAACAGAAGGGTCTCCTTCTGTTCCTCCTCCAGCTTTGCTTGAAGGGGCGCTGCGCAGTTCTCCCTCTCTGCGCAGAGAGGGAGAACTGCGCAGCACCCCTTCAGCCATGTGCCTGCCTGGAAGCCGGAGGAGGAACAGAAGGGTCTCCTCTTCTCCGCTCGCTGTCTTGGCTTGTGCCATAGCCGCACGCAACCCCTCCAGCAGGGAGACGTTGCGCGCAGCCTGTACGCTGCTCTTTGGGGCTGAGGGGGAAATAAGATTTTTTTTCTTGATTTCCCCCTCTAAAAACTAGGTGCGCCCTATGGAGCGAAAAATACAGTACTTGGCTCCAAGAACTGCATGAGGAAGACCCCGGCAAAGATGGGGAGCCTAATATTCGTCCCTTCAGATGTTGCATCACCCCTAACAGTGGCCATGTTGGTAGGGCTTGATGGGAGTTGAAAGCCAACAATATCTGAGGACCCACAGGCTCCCAATCCCTGCCCTAGGGGAAGGAATTTCAAAAATCGGGCTATGTATCTGGTCACTACCCACCTTATGTCTGATGAGGAAGGGACAGAGCAAGCCCTTAGGAATAACATGATGCTTGGGCAGGTTCATGGAAGAGGAGGCAGTCCTTTTGACATTTCCGTTCTTGCATTCAAATTTCCAGATGCCCGAGTGATGGGCCACCTCTTGGATTTCTCCAAATAAGTTAAAGGGGGGTCCCAAAGGAATGGTGCAGATGTTGCAATGAGATATTTTGTTGAAAGGCCCGTTGGCTGTTGGGAAATAAGTTTCTTCGGGAAGTATTTAGGAGGAGATACTTGTAGCTGAGGTCTGGAAGACAGCCAGTGCAGTAGTCTTGAGGGTTAAACCATTATCTGTTGAAAACTGAAATTGATAATCTGCCAGTTTGACAAAGTGTACAGTGTAAGTGAATGAGTTTCCTCTCCAGCAATACATAAATTAGTTGTAATGGATCCAGCAAGAAAGTCATATGAGGAAGCTTTATTCCAAATCTCATTCCAGCTATCTGGCAAGCTCATTTTCCAAGTATAAATCCTTAATATGGGTGAAGTGGCACCACCCATACCCAAGTAGGCATTGGTGAAGGGGACCCTCAAAAGGTTTGCAGTAGTACAAAAGATGCTTCGGAAAAAATAAATCCAAAAAAGGGAAGGAAAGCCCCAAACAGCCAGTGTGGAAGGCAGACTGGACATTGTGGCGGGGCAAGTATCGTGCAAGAAAGGCACTGTTGTCTGACAAGGAAGCCTCTACACCGCAACATTTTGTTGCAGTCCCACTTGTTGTATGAAGCAAAAATGGCCTCTAGGCTATTTTTTAAGTCCAGTAAATGTTACCATTCTTCTTAAGGCACATTCTTGTTCATCCTTTTCCCCTCAGTACTGATAAAACTTTGAGGGTGATAAACATAGGAATCTGTGGTTCTCTCCCACAGAATTGGCTGCGATAAGCCTCACCTACATGGTTGAGGGATGTTAAACATTTACCCTAGTGCTGCTGGACTGACCCACAGAAAAAACACCACCTAGAGCTATAGTGTAATGTTTAAAGATCTCCTTCCTCGAATCTTAAACTCACATACTCCACCCCTCCTTGCAGAGAGAAAGGAATATGTAAACTAGGCTGTTTTGTTTTTATTTCAACATGATCTCTGGGCGAAAGCATCCTTTTTTCTGGAACTGGTATTTCTAAACTCAACAGAGGTACTGCTGTGGTTTGACTGTTGTGCTATGTTTGTGCAACGGCACAGCAGATAAAGCCCCTAAGTTCTCCCTGAACTTAACACATGGATGCACATACAAGTTTGGAGACGATTCTGTTGGATCAAGCTTTCAGACTTTCATAGGCGTTTCATGCTGGCCCTTAATTTTTGTAGGAAAAAGGAGAGAAGTTGAGAAGAACCATGTTAGACCTCGAAAAGCAAGGCTTGGATGCAATGGAGAGCATCATTACCAGCTCGGAAGTTCTTGATCCTTCTGAAGTAGAGGACCTTTTCTATGACTGTGTTGATACAGAAATTAAGTTCTTCAAGTGAAGTGAGTCCTTTTCATATCCTCATACCAATAACTACTTTTTTTAGAAATATAAGTTCGCAAATCTGCAATTGCGAATAAGAACCTGACGTTTTATAAGTTGTGGTTATTTTGCAAAGTCTCCTAATGGATTTGGATATTCCCACCCTGCATTTAAACTTGCGTTTGTAATTAACAATGAATATTAAAGCTTTGCTTTTTCTCATTTCAGTGACCATAGACACCTTTAGCCTTCACATAAGAAGACCATAAAGCTCTTCAGGCCTTGAAAGATATTCTCGCCATATTGCCGAATTTTTGGAGGAAATTTCCCTCTTTTTAGAGAAAAGTTCCTTAGTAGCTGTATCCAATTAACACATTCCTTTCCCCCCTTTTATTTTCCTCCTGTGTTGTCCTGTGTGTGTGTTATGGAAAGAGGGCCTTCACTGACGGTGTGCATGCTGGCTGGTGTAATGCAGAATGTTTTTTCATTCATCTGGGCAACTGAAACTAAGAACGACAAATAGCCAGAATCCATGTAGGTCTCAATATTGCAAATCAAAATAAGCCTGCAAAGTTTTGCCTGGAAAGTTTGATCCACAAGTAAAAGGAAAAAATACAGCAGGTACATGTGTGCTCCTAAAGAGTTTTGCCACAAAGAAATGAGTTGAAAAATGGGCCTTGTTAATGGTATAAATGTCAACAGTGGAATAAGCTTCTCGCTTGTTCTAGTTCTGGCGATTTGGAGTCGGGTCTATGGAGCTGTGTGCTGCCTCACCTATGCACATATTGGGCTAGTAGCTTTTCCTCCCTTTTTTTTGCTTCTCTCACCTATCGTTCCATATTGCTGCATATCAGGCTGCGAAGATTACATTTAAATAATCAATTTCTCCCCAAAATAGAGTTCTGAACAGTGTGAATTGACCTAAGCATTTAGAGAGAGAGAGAAGCAAGCTTACAACTGAAGGTAAGATCAAGAACCTTAATTTGGTTGTGGGAACTGTACCATAGCTGCTTAGGAAAGGCAATTGTTCCAGTGAAAAGACCAGAATTTGTTCAGATTATTTGCTTCCACCAAGGATGGGGAACTTACGGCTCTCCATATGTAGTTGGAAACACAATTCTGATCATTCTTGCCTGCTGGTCATGCTGGCTGGGACTGATGGTAGGCAGTAGATTTCATTGTTCCTTTGTGCTGTCTTTGGGACTTAGTCGAAAAATGTACAGAGGCGTACCTAGGGGGTGGTGAAACTGGCCCCTGCCAGGGGCACAGGACCGGGGAGGTGGGGACATGCAAAAATCAGTGCGGGAGAGGAAGGGATGCTAGGCCCCTTTTGGATGTTGCAGCACCCAGCAAGAGAGAGCGCTTTCAGAATATCGAGTCTACCCTCCTGGCAGGCTGGAAGCACCAGTGCTCTCTTCCTTCCCTCTCTGTCAAAGTTAGCGAGTCGGGAAAGGCTGCAGTGGCAATGAGCTTGAGCAACAGTCACTCCCTCTAGTTTGCAAGCATCTTGGGAAGAGCCAGAGGCAGGGAGGCTGGACATGCCAACTCTGGGGAAGGGTGCAGTCACTCACAGCCTGGCACACTTGCTAGAAGCACAGGGCCAGGCAGACGAGAGAGCAGGTGCGTTTGCAGAAGCCCAGAGAGGGTGCTGGTGCTGTCCAGGATGGGAGTTCTGAAGGCTGCCCTGCTGCCCATGAGGTTCCTCTCCAAACTAGGAGGAGGAGCATCCAGGCAACTTGGCTCCAGCTTCTCTTTCCTGCCAGGAGGAGCAACTCCTTGTGCAAGCCCTCCATTTCCCACCCTTGCCCAAACTCACCCTGCCAGTTCCTCACTCAGATAAGATGGTCCTCCTCCCCCCCTTGGTGTTTGTTAGATGATCATTTAAATCACCAATTACAGCAACTGTTTTCTGTTCAATTACATTTCATAGGCAATGCAAAATAGATCACTGTACATCTATTTATAGTTAAAAAGCTAATTGTGAGGTCTTATACATTTTCCTGATGAGCTCTGAGGCTGTAGCCCTGTGCACACTTTTGCATGAGTAAAGGCCATGCTAAGGCTGGGCAATATCTGGCTTTCAACATTGTGATGTATCACCAGCTAAATATCACAATATACCGATACATCTCAATGTCTGAAGTATATGGAGCTATGTAGAGGCATTGGCTGGCTTCATGGTTTCCCCCCACAGTGTGATTTTGGCATAGCGTGCACACACATCATGATTTGTGATATATTGCCTAGTCAAAAATTATGAAACAGATATCATGATATGGACTTCAAGCCTGCTTCAGCCAATATATTGCCCAGCCCTACGCCATACCTGTTGAAATGTTCTCTCTTAACACAACTATTTAAAGGTTCAGGAGTCCTCAGTGATGCCAATCAGGATAGGGCTTTGGGGGCAAAGATACCAGGGACCCACTCAGCAGGGTGTTCTGGAGGGCCCCCAAATGTAGCAGGGTTGGCTTACAAGAAGGGGCGCCAACCTAAGGACCACGGTGGTTGTTTAACAGGCCACCGAACCGTCTGCTTGGCACAGGCACAGTGCAGCATGGGGACTCACTTCTGTGGCGCAGGAAATTGCGAGTGGGCGCGCTCACACTCGCGATCCAGCCCACAGGGGGATCTCCGCTGGAGTGAACCGGCCCAGGTGAGGTAATCCTTGCCAACCTCTAGCTTACAACATTTTGAGGCAATATGCAGGCCAATATAGCTCCTTGCCAAGCGATCCTAAGTACGCCTCTGATCCCATAATTGTAGCAAAACAAAACTAATGTACAATGTGAAGTCTCTTTTCCTTACATGGGGAATCTAAATTATTGGCATCGTGAAATTGTGTGAAATGGCTGAGGATATCTTCCCTGATTGTTATGTTCATGTTGAATCTGTCTTCCTTTGTGTGGTTTGCTTTGTTGTCGGTGTTGTGTAGATTAACATCAGACATGGTTAAAGTGGAAATCATACACCTGTAAGTATCAAGCAAACATGATTAAATTCTAGAAACTATGGTGCTAGTCCTGTAGATTAAAATGTCAGGGCTCTGATTCTGCACAGGAAAATTTCCTACTACTGTGAGCTGTGTGTGTTCACAACCCTTGAGAAGGGAAAACTCAGACATAATCCATTGTTGAACAACACACAGATCTTGAACTTTCAGTGTAAGTGTAGTTTCTGCAAGAATCTGGCGACTGAGGAGGAGACAGAAGTAAGTGCCAGAGTTGTGGGATGGCTCTTCTCTTTGGTCTTCCTTTCAGAAACTAGCTTGAGACTCAGCCTATTTACCTCCTCCTCGGTTGCTCTGTTGCATCTTTGTGGAGCCCACATAAATCCCTCATTGATCAAATACTACGTCAGAAGTGCATGTGCACGCAGAGTTTCTAAATCAAATGCCTAAAATATAAAGTAAGTTGTCATGTTACTGCTTATTTCATTCCACAGAAGAGGCATCAAAAGGCAGTTGGAAATTATAGGGCTTGGTGAATCTTAGACAGGCTCGAAGGCAATAAAAGTGTGTTTGGTTTCTGTAGTTTCCTCTATAGCAGATGCAGGGAACCTTTGGCCCACCAGCTGTTGCTGAACTACAACTCCCATCATCCCTGCACATTAGCCATGCTTGCTAGGGACAATGGGAGTTGGAGTGCAGCTGGAGGGCCATATGTTCTTCACTCCTGCATTACATGTTAACCAAAGGCTTGGGGTACGTTGAGAAAAAATGGCCCTGCTGCCTCACCCAAGATATGTTGGCATGAACAGCATCCAATTGAGTCAGAATCTGTAAATCTTTGTTTACATATTTCTCGTGGGAACTAATATGTATGGGTTTGCAATCATCTGGGATTCGTGTATTAGACAATGCTGATTGACAAAACTAATAAAATGGTTTCTGCAAAGAGTAATCTCTTGAGTGGCTAAATACTTCTGTACACTTTCCTCCTGGTTTTTCTTCCAGTGAAGAATAAATCCTAAGGATAAAAATTACTACAGAATTAGACACCGTCTCTTGGTTACCAATGCAAGCTTAGTTTTCACTCTGGCCCTCAGTGTTTTCTACCAAATCTAGTAAGTTTTTATATACAGGGGGAATCTGAAATAGATCTCAGCATCCATTGTAAAATATTAGTAAGCAAAACATGTGTTTGATGGTAATTTAATATATGCAGATCTAAATGAAAGCACTTTTCAACCACTGACTGACTTAACAGGCTCCAAGAGAAGAAAAAAGATGAAGTTACATTTCACATGGCATTTTTCATACTATTGAGAACACTTCTTTGTTTTTAAATATCCAATTCACAGAAATACTTTGCTGCTATTTTGCTAGGTGCAAACGGACTCCGATTTTGCATTTCTTTCTCCCTGCTAGAGACAAAATGGGCTGAGTTCAGTAGTCAAGGAGGCCAATATGGATGCTTGCTCCCTTATTTCAAAATGAAGAATCATTAAGCCCCCACAACCTGCTCATCTTTATTCCCTAATGCAGACTGATGCCCCCATTTTCTGGTTGCTGCTGTCTCTCATAAGCGCCCTAGGAACTTGTGTGTTAAAGCTAGCCGAAAGAACAGGTATTACGCTGCTCTTTCCCACCTCTGAAACAACATTTAAGTAGAACTTTAGTTTGTTGCTAGTAGCCTACTCTCAGGAGCCAAGCTGAATATCACAGAGTGCGCTCACATGTAAGAAGAAGAAGAAGAAGAGTTTGGATTTGATATCCCGCCTTTCACTCCCTTTTAAGGAGTCTCAAAGCGGCTAACATTCTCCTTTCCCTTACTCCCCCACAACAAACACTCTGTGGGGTGAGTGGGGCTGAGAGACTTCAGAGAAGTGTGACTAGCCCAAGGTCACCCAGCAGCTGCATGTGGAGGAGCGGAGACGCGAACCCGGTTCCACAGATTACGAGACTACCGCTCTTAACCACTACACCACACTGGCTCTCTAAATAGTAAATAGAACACCTGCTACTCTTCTTATATATTTTTGCTCTATGGTACCTAGCATGGCCCCTACGAGTAAGATAATGGCATCTCTTTTCTCCCTCCTTTTAATGCAAAGCAACCAGAGGACACTGCCAGTTTGAAAGCAGGAGCGGCAGAGGAGGTATCAAACCCCATTTTTCCTTATTCAAAATGTTTCCCCTGCCGCATTTCCTCCAGCTTACTGTTGATGCTCTTCACCTGGAGCAACATTGTTCAGAAACTATTAGAGCCATATAACCATCTAGTTTGGTCCTTCAGATTTGCTGGGGATGTTAACATCATAAATATGCTATGCCAGGAGGCACAGTTGTGTAGTGATGTAGCCTAGATGCTCATTAGTCAGTATACATTCTGTTATTCTTTGCCTCATTTCAATAGTCAGCTGTCAGGTTTTCCTTCACTTCCTAATCAAAGGGATGGATGGGACAGAGCATCTAGGAGGGATGTTGGTGACGTGTGAAAGGCAGCAACATGGCAAAATTCAGGAGAAGGTATTCCATGCTTGCTAATCAGCTGGAGCTTGTGCATTTTCCAGTGAACGCCTGGTACCATCCTCTGCTGTGCTCAGGAAGGTTAGTGCTGATCACCTACGCACTTAAATATACATATATGCACACATGCTGCGTTCCACTGGCAATCCACACCACTGCATTAACTGGAAAGCCATTTTAGTGTAACTACAGAGAGGCAAAGAAGGGGATTTTAAAAATTACAATGCACAGAATTCCTAAGAGAGGGTGGGTGGGAACTTGCATACATTTAAATATAGCAAACCTAGTTTGAAAGCATGATTTACGTGGTCAAATAAATTATATCCAGCAGATAGTACAGGCAGGAATTTCAACCATTGTCGTCTATGCAAACTTGTTTGCATTTTGAACAGGGTGAACACTCATGCTAAAATAAAGTATGACCCACACAGGTGGGCTGCTATTTCATGTTTTATATTTATATATATATATATACTGAGTATTCCACAAAATTAAAAACAAATCTCAGCCCAGGTTTAAAGCAATTGAAACGGAATTACACAACAATAGGTTTCCAACTGTGTCCTAGTCCAGTCAATCCCACCGTTTACCATGTATGAGCTTGGATGTAACGCCAGTTTTGCCTGCATGTACTGTGCGGTCATCAAAACAGGGTCCTACGCTGCACAATGCTCCGTTGATCCTTCCAGCGATGCTCCTACTACCAAGATCTCTCATCTGACTTGTGTCCTTAATGGAGGGTTGTTGGTGCTATCTGTAAAAATTGAAAGAAGGCTAGCTAGAAAACCAAAATGACAAAAAGCCATGGGCGAACAACCAAGTCTGTAGATTTCAGGCATGTTTCTGACATGCAAGGAGAAGCCACTTTAGCTTTCAGTGCCTTCAAAATCAACCAGGCAGGCGTCCGAGTCTTGTGGCTTGTTCTGGTAACAGAATCAGGAGTTTCATAGGTGGACTCAAGTTCAGAATGCTAAAGGAGATTCTGCAGTGAGGATTCAAGCCAGGTGACCCAAGCCAATGGCTTCCTAGCACATAGAAACAAGTCCCTTAATGCTAGCTGCAAAACTCTCGCAGATTATTTTTATCTACATGATCTGGCGAAGCAGACTTCTGTCTGGTGAGCATCCCCTCTATTTCTGACCAGGCCACTGTTTCTTGAAAATTTCTAAGGAGTCATAATCACGCAACCGTTTCTAGTCTTTAATGCAAGAGGAGTAGAATAATTTAACTCTCCTGAAGTGATCAGACTGTAACGGAACTTTTTGACTTACCTCTAGCTTCCTGGCTAGGATAAATTTTCTGGCATGGCTTAAACTCATCAGGAGGAGGAAATTCTTCCACGGAATGGAAAGTAAATTTAGATTCAAAGTCATCTGGAGAATTAAATGGAAAACACCCCTTTGAGTTACAAGAATTCAACAAATTCAAGGAACTGTAGAAAAACGATAAAGGAATGGTCTAAGACAGTTCTTGGAATAAAGTTGTTTGAGGCAACAAAGTTTACTGCACCAGTTCAAAAATCTCTGAACTACACCCAAAGTAGTTCATTGCCAACTGAACTGAGTGTGAATTAGGTTCATTTTGGGGTAGAATGATTTCTAGTTAATATTCAACTCCATTACCTTACACATGCACACGTCTTCAAACTCGTTGGGCCATTAAGCTTAAAGATCACAATCGTTGAGAAAGATAAAACCATTCACATCCCACTGTGTGCATGTTTTGATGTTTCCTTAGTCTTCTCAAGTGTTTTTTATACTTCAAGCAAAGAGCTTATAATATTCTGAATGCTGAAAAAAAATTAGCTGGGATTCCTGCATTGCAGAGGGTTGGACTAGATGACCCTAGGGGTTCCTTCCAACCCTACAATTCTATGATGATTTGGATGAACTTGAATTCACCTATGAACTGTATGTGAAAGGAACTAGTTTGTTTTGCAAAACAACTCCTGGAAATTGAATTAGTTCCTTTGGGAGCATGTTGAACCTGAAAATGGTTTGCATGTTTTGTTTGCATGCTTTTGAGGTGGAGGGTGTTCCGTGTTACTTGTGGTGTTTGAAATTATTTTTTAATAAAACAACAAGAGCCAGAATGTTCTTGCTCAGCCATTAAGCGATTTGGCAAACTTATTGCATGGCAGAATTTTTACAACATCAGTAAAGATACTTACAGTATAATAAAACTGTTTCACCTTACAAAGAGTTTGAGAGGGTGCATGTAAACAGCTTTCAGTTTTTAGATAGCTGCTAAACATTATTGATATTATTCTCCCTCTATTTCTAAAAAAAGTTTCCACCCAGTTATTCCAGCAAATATCCATTTCTTAACCTCAACAACAACAACAACAACAACATGAAGTTACATTTGTATCTAAAATCTACAGCAAAAGAAGCTCAATGCTACATCCTTAAAATTTAATTTGCTTTTTTTCCTGTAATATCATTGTTTAGGTTCTTGCCATTCCTTAGTAAATTAGTAAACACCTTATTTGAACAAGTCTTCATGGGTGAATACCCCATCATTTTGCGAGAAGACAAGTTCCTGCATGTTTTAAGCTTGCCATTTTTGTCTTTGGGCAGGGCAGAGACCTAAATATATCAACATTACCCATTATGTGGACTGCCCCATTCTTAATTGCTGAGCAGAGGTCTGGGCCAGGCAGCCAGGGAGATACTTGAGCATATTGGCATTTGCTTGAGAGTTCAGTTGTCGGAGACCTTGCAGGAGGTGCTGGGGGTGGCATCAACTTTCCTAAGAGAAAATACACATCAGAAAAAGACTCAGAGAAGATAAGCAAACATTGCATCAGACATACATACTTGTTTTTTACTACACTTACATCTTATCCTCCTCCTAAGGAGCTCAGGCTAGCGTAAATAACCTGTACACCATCCTTGTGAAGTAGCCTACAGGCAAAGAGCAGGTCTAAATATTCAGAAAACCCCGATGTTGCAGCCCTATTGGCATGAGACCACTTTAAACATACAGGCTAGTTAGCATGCAACCTACGTAAAACAACAATAGTAACCCCTTTTTGCAATACTGTGGCAAAGACTACACCTCAATCCAACACCAGCCAGTGTAGCCAATGTTAGGGGATGCTGGAAGCTGCAGGCCACGGCCTTGGCCTACCCCTGCATTTTGCACTATGGTGCGTTGAAATGGACCAGCGGTGATGCAGCTAAAGAGTGCCATTCCTACCTCCGCCTCTGCCTTGTCTCCTCTTGTGTGTCACAGCCACTTGCTGGGTGCTTGGAGGGGCTGGGGGAAGAGGCAGCGACTGAATGCTGGGCTTCTGCATCTGGGACTGCACAAACAGCGACTTGGGGGGCAGCGGAGGCGGGGCTTCGCCACTGCCGCTCGAGGCACTGAGAGAAGTTGGCGAAGGGGGCAGCGGCAAAGACGTCCTGTGTGAGGAAAAGGTGGACATAGAAGGCACTGGAGGTGGCGGCGGCGGCGGCGGAGGGGGCACGGAAGGGGAACTGAGCCTTAGGTCGAGCTGGGAGGCCGATGGGCTGGGGCCCTCGCTGGTTTTGCCTGGGAGTGAAGTAGGGGGCCCTAAAGGCAAGGGAGGGGGAGGGGGAGGCAGTGGCGGCGCCGGCATGTGTGAAGGGGATGCTGGGGTTTTGCGGGGAGAAGGAGCAGCAGCGCTTGGGGAGGGGAGGTTCTCGGGATTTTCAAGCAGGGGAGGGGGGAGAGAGGGAGGAGGGGGAAAGATAAGCGAAGGCTTGCTGGAGGAAGGCGATAGCGGCAGTGGCGGTGGCGGTGGAGGAGCAGGGATGTTGGGACGAGCCGGAATCGCTTGCTGGGCCTTGGATGCTTCCGATGGACTTGCAGGTTTGGGGCTGTCAGACGCAGTTTGAAGGTTGCCACTGGCCTTCCCATTATTGTTCGGTGGGTCTGGACCCTTTGCAGGAGGAGATGTCCTTACAGTGCTTGGCTGACCCGTCCGACCGCCTGAGGAAACCAAATAAAAGTTTTAGGAAGCAGCAAATAAACCAAGGTAACAATGCGCCACGCGCTTTGAGGGACGACCAAAAAAGAGAGATGTGAATTTGTCCTGCTCAGCCACTTCACAAATCTCGTTTCCCTTTGCCACAAATCCCCATTGCCTGCCTGCCATTCCAATCCTACAGACTAGCTGTCGGACGCTGCAATATCAACAGTGACTCGGCCGTTTCCCAGGAGGCAGAGCAGAGGTGGCTGAAACCCCGACACATTCTGCTCCGACGCGAACGACAGAAATTCACAGCCTCCTACTCAACAGGGATGAGCAATCATTCCTGTATATCTCAAGTTATGCTGCACCGAGGCGAGGCAGAAGCCCTGGGGCATTCGTGGTACGGACAGATCTGGGTGTTTTTTGCCCTTTCCACCCAGCTTATTAAGCCTACCATGTCCGATGCACATTTCCCCAAGAAACTGGTTGCTTTAATTAGATTTCTCTCATCGGAATGAGAGCATGTGTATATAGAGATAAACCTGGCCATGGTTCTCAATGGCACTTGTCACGTTGCTTTTTAGACTGCTGCAGCGTGTTGCTGGTGGGGCTGCCTTCTGAAGACTGGGAACTACAGTGAGCACAAGAGGCAGCACTGGGGTTGTTAACTGGGCATATGGAACATCTCAACACCAGAAAACGCTACACTTAACTGCTAGTCAATGGACTAGCACAAGTCAAAGGACCGGTTTTCGCTCAGTGGCTTGGGACCAGGGGAACCTGCCCTGCATCAGAGGCCTTGTTCCGTGTTTGCTGCCTTCTCCCTCCCCTCCCTCGTCTGACGTGCAATGGCTGATGACCAGAGCTTATTCTGTGGTGGCACTCCATCTTTGAAATGTCCTTCCAAGAGAGGTTCTCCTGGTGGCATCTTGGTGTTATTGTCAGCTCCAGCCCAAGGGCCTGAATATGAAAGGACAAGCTCAGGGGCAGAGCTTCTGCTTTCCATACAACCCTGACATCTCCAGGGAAGGCTGGAGAGAGACTCCTGCCTGAAACCCTGTCAGTGCAGACAAGAGAAAGCTAGATGGCCAATGGTCCGACTTGATATAAGTCAAGTACCTCAGGTTCCCCTATTGCCTTCCACTTGCCCAACTCCTTTCGTTCTATGTTTTGCTTCTGCTTTTTACGCCAGATTGCCCCCCACAACATAACAGAATAGAATCGTAGAGTTGGAAGGGACTCCATCTAAGTTCAACCCCCGCAATGTAGGAATTTGCAGCTGTCTTGTACGGGGATCAAACCTGCAACCTTGGCGTTATTAGCACCATGCTCTAACCAACTGAGCTATCCAGTTTTTCCTGAGCTTCCATGTGGTTTTTTTGTCACATTTGTTTTTATGGGCCAATCCGAAAACTGCTCTTGAGAGCCATGGCTGAAGAGTGGTTCATGGTGGTTTTTAAATATATAAAAATACTGTTTTGATTGTTTTCTTTTCGTGGTGGCTTTTAAATATATAATGATGGTTTCCTATCCTGGGCCAAAATAAGATTGTTGCTAGTGAAACTGAGTGTAAAAGGGAGAGTCAAAGAAGCTTGCCCTACAATGTTTTACTGAAACAGATTTTATTATATATATAGTTTATTGTTTCTGAAGAATAAATTAGCGTCTCTTTCAAACATATCATAAGAAAAAAACATCGTGTTCTGTTTACCCAGGCTCTAGTTGCTGCAAGAGGACGATGTTTTTAAATAGAAAAATGTTTTTTTTACCTGTCAGATCCCTTTGGCCTACTGGTCTCAGAACAGGAAAACCCTCTGCAAATAGGTTCCCCAATGCCTGAGGGATGTCACTTCTGCCGGTTCCTGAGCTTCCTCCATCTCTGCTGGCCCTCCTCCTAGAGTCTGTGACAAAAGAATAAAATAAAAATTAAATCTGGGTTATTCTATCAAGCTTTCCGAGTTACTGGCCCTTTTAATTTTTGCCCTTGGTGTCTTTCCCTGCAACGTATAATGAATAAGAAAGTGACTTAATGCAACAGCCACATACACAATTCTCCACGTCCTGAAACACAGCACCCTCTGGTGTGTGAATGAAGGCAGGGACCTTCTTGCTAATCTAGCCATCTTGACAGCAAGATTCTGAGACCATACAGATCCAATATTTAATAAAGAATGGAATATTTACAGAGAATAGCTAAAAGAACACTGTAATAATCCAAATTCTTTGGCAGGCCTGGATTGACTTCTGTGTGAAAAAAGAGAACTTTACAAAATTAACACGACTGAACACCACTCTCCAGCAACATAATTAACTTTTCAAACTGGGGTTAGGGAGGCTTAAGAAAGAATCCACAACACGTTTCGACTCCTGGGCTGGTCAGAAAAAAAGATATAGGCTGCCCACCCCTTGCTACGTATACAAAAAAGTTGTACATTAATGCAGACCAAAAGGCAGGAGGCTTATAATGGGAGGCTTGGTCCTTGCAGGGCGGGGTGTGGAACTGGACAGGCCAAACCTCAAGAAATGTGGCCAATATAAGCAGCTTTCAGCTCATAAGTAGAAGAGGCTTATCTACGTGGTGCTTTTCCAGGGTTTGGTAACCAAGCAAAACAAGAACAAAAAGCCCACAGGGACTTTCAGCCTGGAAAAAACAGCTCTGTGACCATTGCTTTGGAGAAGTTCTGGAAGCCGAAGACTCACTTTCAATCTGCGGGGCACTTCGGTCATTGGTCTGCGATACTTTCCTCAGCCGAGTCCCTCTCTGGATCTCATGTAGCAAAGCACTGCGGCTTTTCGAGTCCTCCCTCCTCTGCTTGGGCGGTTCGGAGTTTGCCTGTCAAGGAGAGCAGACAGTGAGGCTCACGGTTCCATAGAGGCTGAAGAACAAAGAAAGAGAGACAGGGCAGGTTGGTCCATTGGGGCAAATGGGGCCCAGAGGTGACTGATGCCCATTGATAGGATAGATGGGAGGGAGGAACAACACAACAGTAGGCGGAGCTAGAACCTATGACAGGCGGATCCGCTCCGCCCCCTGACTTCTTGTAAGAAAAGAGGCAGTTTGGTGAAGGCTGTCTGGGAGCAGGCTGAAATTGGTGGGGCAGTGCTCCTCCCCTTCACCCTAATGGACCAGCCTCAACTGGTCCTTAGCCAGCCTCCACCTGTCATTGGTTCTGCCTGTCACTGCTTCTGGCTCCGCCTCCTGCTGGTCTCCCTGCCTTCTGCCCCTCTAGTCCCAATAAGCACCAGTTGCCACACAGTGGAGGTGAGCAAAACCACCTGGTCGTCGATCGCCACCTCCTATGTTTATGCTAGCTATTCAGTACACAACACGGTGCCCTCTAGATGTTATTAGCCTCCTTCCCCCAACAGCTCCAGCCAATCATGGCCACTGATCAGGGCCAATCCCAGTCCAGCAATCTTTGGAGAGCACCATGTTGGCTACCTCTGTGATATGCAACAAACGTGTCTTGCAATGCCTGCTTTAGGAAATGGCTTTTTGCAATATATTTGCATCGCAGGGGGTTGGACTAGATGACTTTCAGGATCCCTTCCAACGCTACAATTCTATTATGCATTATTTTTTGGCTCTGTTTCTTCAGACGTCCCCCCGCCCCGGACAATAATCACAATCCCACTGTGATACTGGTACAATCCCACCACTAGATGCTGTATTTACAGCTTACGGACACTCACTGAACATGTCAATCTGTTTCTCACTGTTGCAAAGACAGCGGAAACCAAATCGGTGCAACTGGAAGCCGGTGAAACTGAAAACAATGGGTTTTACTTTCACTTCACCTGCTTACGACCAGGGCAAAAGCCAGGTGTGGCTTAGGACTGCTGAAGTCTAGGGACTGCCAAACATATCTTATGCAAGTTGAATGCTTTTTTCTTGCTTTTTCTACTCATCCTTCCTCTAACGGTCATGGGAAATTCTCTTGATGAAGTCACACAATATAGGACCACTTTTGATCAGCTTGTGCGGTTTATTCCATTGACCATAAATGAGCTGGGACAAAGGCAAGTGTGGAGGAAGTGAGTCAACATACCAAAGTCTGCAACTCTTGGGCTATATACACATTAGCGCAGGGGTCAGCAAACTTACCGCACCTCGGGCCGGTGTCCCCAGCGCCGATCGCGCGGCGAGCCGGAGGGCAGGGGAGCGTGTGCCCATACACGTGCGCACACGCTATTCCCGGCACAATTACAAGTTGGAGGAGCACTGGGGAAAGCTTATGTGCATGGGCCTTGTCCGACCCGGATGTGCACCAGAAATAACACTTGCCCATGCGCAAATAACGCACATGCACACAAGCTATTTCCAGTGCTCCTCCAACCCAGAAGTGGGCAGCCATGCAGTGCAGCACTTGAAACAGCGGGCGGCAGGGGTCGCTGCAGGCTGGATAAACGAGTCCCTCAGGCCTTATCCGGCCCGCGGGCCTTCGTTTGGGGACCCCTGCATTAGCGGCTTAAAGTGCAGCAAGTTGGTTTCCCCTCCTGTGGTTTTTCAAGTTGCATCTGTGTGCTGTTTTCCCCGCTGGAGAGGAGGCTGGGATGTCTGTCCCCACCCCAATGCGCATTTCCTATTTGGTTTCCCTGCCCTGGCAAGCATCCTCCAGCTCCTATTTATGAAGCTGTCATCTGTGTGCATGCTGTCATCGGCGCATGCGCAATGGCTGTCTCCAATGTACACACCTCAGCTTAACCGCAAAGTGAGTGCGGCTTAAGTTTTCCTGGCATACGGAAGATGGTCTGAGGGTGGGGGACAGACACCCAACAGCAACATTTCTTTAGAAACGACAGTTGCATCGTTGAGGGACACTATGTAAATAGATTCAAGAGCCAGTGGCAGGAAGGCACAGGAGTCAGAATAAATGGAAATCTGTACACAACTTTAGTCATGTGACAGGGAGGTTTGCCTCCAACCACAGCTGTCATGAGTGATCTCCTTCTGCAGAAAAGGCAGCTCCACTACCTGAAATAACCCCCAAGATCCATTTGACGGCTAAGCTTAATACACTTTTATTCTTCCCATAGCCAGGCTTTATTATAGCATTCCTGACATTGTCAAATAAGCTTATCTAGAAATGCCTACTCCCTTCTCTGGCAGAGCTAGACTGACCTGGACATTCATTCACAGACGATAAAAGGGGCGAACGTAAGGAACACCACATTATCTCCATGGCAATACTCCACTAGGACACAAAAGTGAAACACTTTTCCAGAGTGAAAGGAGCTGACAAAGGACACAGATCTGTAAACAGCATTTCCTTTAAAAAAATAATTAAAAAATTGTGCTACTATGCTTGTGTCTTTCCTGTGAGATTTCAACAGGGTTTTTGTTGTTGTTGTTGCCACTGTAGAAACAGTGCTGAATCTTTGGTTTGATCCAGCAGGTCCTTAGCTGAATGTATAATATGTTATTATGTTATTGCTTTTTTATTCTGTTGGGAGCTGCCCAGAATGGCTGAGGAAACCCAGCCAGATGGGCGGGAAATAAAATAAATTATATATTATTATTATTATTATTATTATTATTATTATTATTATTATTATTATTATAGGGTAGGACATCCAGGTGTGACATCCAGACAAGACTAAGCTGCAGCAGTGGCCAACCAGATGCCGATGAGATTTTTTTCCCTGGGGGGACCCTTTCCCCACACCAAAAATAATTTTATACACCTTTATCATCATATCCCTGCTTTCCTCTCCTAAAGCTCTGGATGTTGTCACCTGTCCTCATAGCAGTCACTGATCCTCTAGGCTGCCCTTTTCTGAATATTTTTTCCAGCTCCGTAATATCCTTGTTGAGGTGTGGCATGGGTGTGTGGTGTGGTGTGTGGTGATGACAAACAGAATAAAGACAAGAGAGAACTTTTAAAATACAGTGGTACCTTGGTTCTCAAACTTAATCCGTTCTGGAAGTCCGTTCCAAAACCAAGGCGTACTTTCCCATAGAAAGTAATGCAAAATGGATTAATCCAGACTTTAAAAAACCCCTAAAACAGCAATTTAACATGAATTTTACTATCTAATGAGACCCTTGATCCATAAAATGAAAGCAATAAACAATATACTGTAGTCACACAATCAGTCAGTAGCTGAACTGGGTTCCACACAGTCACAAAAACAAAACAAAAATCGGAAGTGTAACACTCAAAACGGAGCACGTTCAGCTTCCGAAAAAAGTTTGCAAACCAGAACACTTCTGTGTTTGCAGTGTTTGGGTTCCAAGTTGTTTGAGTACCAAGGGGTTTGAGAACCAAGGCACCACTGTACAGAGAATAAACAATTGCAGCAGCAGCAGCAGCAGCAGTGCACTAGCAATCGCTCACATTAGAATGTATTTGATGCCACTAAGTAAACACCCAAAATGCTCAAAGGACAGGCTATTATTTGTCTGAAAGAAATACCCAATATAACACAAGTAGAACAAACCTACCTCCTAATGATAAGCTAAGAACTGACAGTCTATATATTAGCATTTTAAACAGCAGGTTCCTCATTTTCCTTTTCCTCTAAAAGTGCATAAGCTCCTCTAGATGGCACACTTGGGTACTGTCCTCTTAGAAACATTCCTGGGGGGATGATGTAAAATCCCTTTAATAGCTTGTATTCTTTAAGGCTACATTTGTTGCAAAAAATAAATAAATGCATGGATTAATATATTGCTTTATAAACTAGCTTCCATAACTCAATCCTCAAGTGCCTTTAGAAATTTCACAGAGAGACAATGTTATTTACCATCGCCACCAAAAACCTGAATGAGTCATATAGTTAGCAAATGCTACAGCACACGCAAGAGTGGAATTTACAACCAATTTCTCCTATATCCTCTGGAAGAATAAGCAATACGTACTGTGAAAAACTGAAGAAACATCACTGGAACAAAGTAACTCCTTGCTTCTTGTTTTCCAGTGCTGTTACAAATAATTTATCTCAGCAACTCCCACAAATGGTTTTGCCGTAGCTCTGCTGCTTGGGTGAGATAGCAGGACCTCGTAGGTTTAAATTTAGAACTAACAGCTGTGGTTTTGTTCCTGGGTTCATATATCTACAGTTTGTGTCATCTCTGCATGATAAATACTAGCTTCCCCCCTCCCTTTCCAAAATAAGTAGATAATTTTTGGGGGAGGACTGGACAGAGTAGTAAACTCTGAACATACACAATACTTATATTCAAGAATGCATTGTGTATTTTGGTGGATTAGGGGAGAAATTGGTCACTTTGGGGCATTCATTCTTCCTACCCTGATACTTCAGATGCCAGTAAACCCTTGACCATTGTGGAAATGCCTAGGAATGCACAGGAACAGCAAAAGCTTACAACATTTTGGTTGGCCTAATAGTGGTATTGCCCTAATAAGGATTTCAATTTGCCCAACACAGTATTTACCTTTCGTAGGAATAGCAAAGCAATACAGTCGTACCTTGCAAGTCAAATGGAATCTGTTCTGGAAGTCCATTCGACTTCCAAAACCAAAGTGCAGCTTCTGATTGGCTGCAGGAAGTTCCTGCAGCCAATAGGAAGCCGTGGAAGCCCCGTTGGATGTTCGGCTTCCAAAAATAGTTCACAAACCAGAACCCTCACTTCTGGGTTTTGACCCAAAACGTTCGAGAACTAAGCTGTTCGAAAACCAAGGTACAACTCTATATTGTCCTGTGTTTAGGGTGGAATAGGCTGTATAGTTATTTATCTCCTTGGCTCGGAGGTTGTATAACCATACCCTCCAATGCTTCACCAATGGAAACAGAGGGAAAGTGGGAGATTCCAGGATCAAATCAGAATGGCTTCTATAAATCCGGGACTGTCCCTGGAAGATAGGACAC